AATCAAAATGCATAAACCGTAGGTCGTTATAAGTGGACACGCATTTCAGTGAAAACGCTTTACCGGTGCTTATTCGGTACAATCATTCTATATGACCATAAAATTCAACGCCGTAATGGTAACGTCGAGTAACAGGGTGCTGCCATTACCAGTGTGTAGGTGCTTTCTGCGTCATCTTTGCAACAGCTCACGGCAAATAATTAGAAACAGCAAATTTCGACTCTTATGATGTCAATTACTGCATAAAAAAAGGCTGAGTCTCCCCGACCACAGGCCGGAGATATGCTGCAACTCCGCAGAAAAATCCCACTGAACTGCAAGGAAACTCTCCAAAAAGTTCCACTTCGCTAACGAAGGATCGTCTGACTTGCCTCTTCTAACGACACACGTAAAATCGACGTTACGTACCTTAAAATCTCGGTCTTCGCCCAAGGAGCCGAGCAAACAGTCCCCAAATACCCACTCCTGCCGTGGGGGAACAATTCAGCCCCCCCAAGAAAAAAAATCTCACCCTCTCGAAACTGGAAACCGCTTCATACAAAATTTGGGTCCCAGCTTCGAGTAGCACATTACACGCAAGATCTGCGAGGAGGCAGAAGTCCTTTCGAAACTTGAGGAATCTCAGATAAACTGAAACTAATTCCCAGATTCCAACCGCCAAAAGTTCAAACCGTAGCGGGTTTTTTTTTTTTCCCCCTTGGCTTTCGGCTATATTCACCGACCTAAACAAAACTACTGTACACGCAACTCCTCCTGCCATCCGGTTGAATTTATACACAGGAAACCCGCCCAGACGTCACCGCCCGTGGGCGGGACCTCTCCGCATCCGTGCTCGGTGATTGGACAAGACCGCTGTCCACAAAATACAAAGACCAGAGGGGACCTTTCCTCTTGGGAGAGTTTTTATGTTTAAATGAATTGGTTCGGAGCCGTCTGTAATGGGGACAGTCATACATTTTCCACCAAAACTTTGTGCGGCGCGGAAAAGTAGACTAAGCCACACGTTACGGTTATTTATTTGGGTCTTTTGCATATGGTCCGTTCCCTGTCTACACGGCGTTTGAAGGATTGGTAGGCAGTTTTGGAGTCCGGAGGTGGGATAATGTAAAGATTTTGTAGGAAATCAATAGTTTCACGTTAGGTCTCCATTGCCCAGTCTTTCCTCCGGAGAGCTTCGAAGTCTTTCAGACTGGTAATGTTTCCCAATGTCTAGAGTTCTATCTGGAAGAAGCTGAATGCTATCCGACACAGAAAGTTCTGCTTAATTAAATGTTTTTCTTATTTTTTGCAATAGTATAATGTGCAATGTTTTTCTTCTCTCTCTTTTTTTTTTGCATTCTATTTAAATGTACAGGAGTGCTGGGTGTCCATAAAAAAAATTCCCTCAGGGGACAATAAAATCTTATCTTATAACAGGTCATTCAAACCCTCTCCACACCCCACCCAGGGCGGGGAGCGCACATGACAGCCCACGCCTCGTGACACAGCCCACCCGCTCCACGCAGAAGACAGAGCCACGTGATCGGGCTGACAAACGCGACTGGACGCCCAGATCTGGTCGAGAAGGACCCTGCCGAATTCCAGCACGAAATCTCCAGTTCCCGTAGAGCCAGGTGGCCTCATTATGCCAACAGGCAGATCAAGTAAGAAGTTCAAGTTTGGGGGTTAAATAACTAAGTGGTAACACAGCTGGCGTTCAGAACTGGATTTGTATACCCCTGTCTTTACCAAGTGTGCCTGGAGCCTGATATTTTACTACCTGGTGAGGATTAGCTGGAGAACAGCATTAAAGAAAGAAAACAGTTTCGTTTTGCATCTGCGTTCTGCTTCGCGTGCATCGCCAATTTGTGATCAACAGTACAGAAGTAGCACTTCTAGCAGAGACTGATATATCGTCTTGGCTTATTTATGTTTCTTGTTCTGCCAAGCAGCCATATCACCCTGCAACTCACAACTGGCAACCCACTGAAGCTCAGCAGGTGTGAGCCTGGTCAGTACCTGGATGGGAGACCTCCTGGGAAAAACTAAGGTTGGCGCTGGAAGCGGTGTTAGTAGGGCCAGCAGGGGGCGCTCACCCTGCGGTCTGTGTGGGTCCTAGTGCCCCAGTATAGTGACGGGGACACTATACTGTAAACAGGCGCCGTCCTTCTGATGAGACGTAAAACCGAGGTCCTGACTCATTGCTGCACATTGGTGGTGGTGGAGGGGAGTCCCCATTACCTGTAAAGCGCTTTGAGTGGAGTGTCCTGAAAAGCCCTATATAAGTGTAAGCAATTATTATTATAGAGCTTCAAGAGTCAAATTACATCAAGAAGATAAGAGCATAAGAACAAATGAAGAAACCTGAACATAATTAACATGTTACACTATTCAAAGACTTTTACATTTTCTTCTAGCACTTCTAAAGGTTATTTCTTCAAGCATTGCTCCTGGACACACAGCATCCTCCATTGTTTTGCTGATTAAATTGTCAGAGGGACAAAGAAAACTTAAAGCTCAGAAGTACAGAAATCCTGTATATTTACTAGACCTTGTTAGTGCACAGGAAGAATGGCTTTTTAGAATTATCTTAGAAACACAACTGGCAAACTACATAAACGTGGGTCATGAAAACAGAACTACTGTGTCCATGTATTTTTGGTGAAAAGTATGACTAGTAACTGCCGCACAACCAATACTGTACTATTCCCGTTGCACAGAAACTAACTCATGAGAAATCAGTGCAGGTCTTGACAAGGATAAAAAAAAAACATTTAGAAACCCCCACAGCATTATTTGAAACGTCTCGGATGTCCGTGCCAACCCTGTCTCTCACATTACTACCTCTAACAAAAACTATTTGGAGAAGAAGGGAGAAAAGGCTCGTGGGCATTACAAGAACATATTTTGAAAATAAGACACCTAAAAATAGATCGAGTAAAGCAAATTTCAACCGTGGCAAAAACGTACATTTCCGAAACACGTAGGGGTTGTTCCTTCCGAGCATAACTTAGTTTCCGTCACTCCCTACGACCTTGTCCGAAAAACCAGGACAGTAAGAAAAGTTCAGTTACAAGGAAGAGGAGATGGAGGATTTTAGGGAGGTGTGGTTAACTCATCTCAAGGGGAGTTTCTAAACATTTGCACCGCAAATGCAATATGACCACACCGTAAGCAATATGACATGACTTATGCAGAAGACATATGAGCAAAGTGGCTTTGTAAGTTAAGCAAAAAAAAGTGGAAGGAGTATCCCGTCAGCCGTAATAAAATCATCTTTTTATTTTATACCATGAGGTTTTCACAGAGAGCGAAACTGGAAATTGCAAGGCAAACTGAGACACTTTCAGCTTGTATCCATCACTTTATTTTTGAATGTTATTGTTTAAAAGTTCAAAGTGTAGAATGTTCCATTAACAATGATTCTTGCTATTAGTTTGGGAGAGAAGAGATTTAATATAGAGGAATGAAACTTCCGACTACTGTCCAAAAAGCTTCTGCAGACATCCTTTCAGGATTAAGACAGCATTACGGGACGAGTCTTTGAAACGACAGATGTGTCAATACACCAAAGCCAGCAAGCTGTAATGTACAAGAGGCTTTTTAGTGGAAATAAAAGCTTGCATTGGAATCACAGGCACTTGGGAAGTAGCCTTATAGCGTACGGCATTTCAGAAATGGTTTCCTTCTACAACTTGTTTTTTTCCATGAAAGAAAAGCACAAAACGAAGAGACGATTTCACTGGCGGACAAGAACACAGCGAACTGTCTGCCAGGGATTCAGGAGGGCCAACAAAAAATATCCAGAAATTGTGTTGGTTTTTTTTTGGGGGGGGGGGTCAGGGGAAAAAGCAGAAAAAGACCAGAAAAACAGAGGCTTGCTCGAGCATAGCCTGAAGTGTCAAGCCTCCCCCCGGTTGTCCAGTGGTCTAACACCCTGTTACACCCCTTCGTTTTCGGGCAAGGGGTTGAGGGGTCGAGCAGTGTATCGTCTGCGAGGGTGAGGAAGCAGCAGGGTGGCAGAGTCAGCGTCACAAGTTTGCTCTATCAGAGAAGGAGGAGGCAGAAGCTGGGCATAGCAGGACCATCTCGAACCAGCCCAGGGGAGGTCCAGAGGGGGAAAGAAATACCTGAAACAATGGAGACAGGAACGGGACAAACAAAAAGGAAAAACAAAACAACAACAAAAAAAGAAACAGAAAGAAGAGAAAGGCAGTAAATACAAGGAGAAATGAAGGGGGGGTAGAGAATAGACTGCATGCTTTAAAATAAAAAAGGAAAACAAAACTCCAGAGGCGGACCCAAGTCGGAAACAAAAAGAAAAAAAAGAGATACAGCACAGTCGCACAGGAGGGTTATCGGATGACTAGTTTCTCAGGCGGTTATTTATTTTTCCAACTCTAAGAACACAAATGCATGTCACCTGCATGTACTGATTTCAGTCCACGAGATGAAATGGTCACAGGCATACGTTTGTCCCGAACGAAGCAAAGTAGGATGCTTCCATACATCACTCAAATGCCTACCTTGAATAACTTTTCTGAAGCTTAAGTCTCTGAACCAAGACATGAACGTTACAGGTTCAGGTCCAGAGTAATGTCAAGTAAAATAAATGGCCTAATGGGCATTCTTTGTAAAGAAATGGGAAGGAAGCAATAATCGAGTAAAATAAAGTTAATCTGAAGGAACCCTACAAACTATGGAATTGTGTTCAAAGTGGAAAGGCTGCATTTTAATTAACAGAGGACAATCTGCGTTCAGGATACACTCCATGAACCGTATGAAATATTTTGTTTTTCACCTACATTTCTTCATATTCTTACAAAGGGTTACTAAGACATTAAACGAATTTGCTTAAATTAAAAAACTTGCCTGTAACAAGTTTCCTTTTGAAGGCTGTCATCGTCAGTTGTCAAAAAAGAAAACTAACCTGCTTTTTATGTTTCGAATACTTTTATTTTCAGAGATCAACTTGCACCTTAACTCTATATAAAATATTCTCAGACTTGACACTTTTTTGTTTGGCACACATGCAAACTAAAGCAACCGTGTTTTAATATTTCCATGCCATTGGTTTTTTAGTTTCTACTAAAGAAAGCTGCTTCAAAAATAAAAATCAATTTAAAATTTACCATTAATCACACATGGCTTTAAACAAAATACAAAGCAAAGCCAATTAGACAGTATATTTTAGCACAACAGAAACAAACAGAACAGATCTGTTCATATTTATTGGTAAAACATGTGAAAACAAAGAAAAGGACAAAGTGTACTGAAGTAAAAAAAGTGAAAATTTTATTTGACATTCTTGGTTTAAATTTTTACCAAAGAAAATATAATAACAGTCAATACAGAATCAGTTTGTCCAGACCATGTGGCAGGTGAGGAAACTATCCATGTAACTACCTTTAATATTCAAACTTTTAATTTAGAAACTTTCAAAATTTCCTGCTTTCAGAGACAGGCTGGGTGAGACCATGCAAGTGATACTGTTGAGCACATTTTGCCTTTGTGTTATTCTATTTAAAAACAACTTCCCAAAGGTTTTCTCTAGACAACTTTCCATATAGCTCCGACACTAGAACACAAATTGCAAATGAGAAGGACCACCTTCCTCATTTGGTTGCTAGGAGTAAAGTGAAAAGAGCTCTTGGGCTATCTCTTTTTTCAAACATTCTTCAAAGATTTTAAAGGGAAACAGCTCGTGTAAACACAAAGCTAATATAGAGGACAAACAAGTTCTCACAGAAGGATTTGTGTGCAGGTTGTCTGTAAAGAATCACAACTACAACAACAATGTTGAGGATTCAGATCTTCCAAGTTGGTTTGAGAGGATGACAATCACACCCAAATACACACAAACACACTCAGAACTCAGAGGTTAACACTTGATGTTAACAAGCAAATTCAACGGTGCTTGGTAAAAGATTTTTACAAAAGCAATCACATCAGTCACATCACTTCTTTGAATAGCAGAACGGCATTTTGGTTGTATTAAATCAAAGGCTAGAAAAATAAATTGAAACACTTTTGTAGTAATTGCAGCTGATCACTGATTTGGTCTAGCATGGAAGGAAGCTGTCCAGAGCAAACCTTTCTGCAAGGCATTGTCCCAAATCCGGAAAACCGGAGCTAGCTGTCCCAGACCTCACTAAAACTGCCTGAAGTTTAAGATCCAGCTAGATTTCAGTATCAGTTTTAGATAAGTGCAACCTGTCACATATATATATACGTCTTTTACAAATTCCTGCCCATGTAAGGATTTCAGTATGAACAAACTGGGACAGACATAAGAAACAGCCTTTGGGGTTTGTGATTAGTAGAAAGCAGGCTGCAGGTGTGTCTTGGGAGAAGTCAGCCGGCGCAGGGGAGGGGAAAAAGGAGTTCTCTTTCCATTCCTGTGTGCATGCAACAAGCAGCAAAACAGCAAATTACTCCAATTAGCCTGGTATCAGCTGAGCTTTCTTTCTGTCAAAAAGGACATAATACAAGTGGAGAAGGCAGTTTGAATCATTGTTCCGAAACAAAGTTTCAAAGCATTTCATTCTTGATACATTCAAACACTAACAACTCTAAATGAAGAAATCTGAAGTCTTACCACAGCATGAAATGGAGACATGATGACTTAACAGCACTATACGGCTTAAGAAACAGGCTACTACCCAATCTAACATAGACTAAAAGCCAAAGATTAAGAACATTAGGGGAAGTTTAACAGAACTGTGTAATACCTAAGATGCTCCACAAAGGGGCCCTTAAGTCATTTACAGTTATTGAGACACTGATGAACAGCTGAGGTGCGAATCTCAAATAAGAGAACATGCATGTTCAGTTTCCTTCCAAATGGAACCAGTACTTTTCTGAAACAACTACTGAAAGTTCATTAAGTAAAACACATGTACAAATCCTGGGCTTTTGCCCCTTAAAACTATACACATGCACCCTCATTCAATTTAAGAAAGGTTATTTTTACACGTATTACATTAAGACTACTTTTAGTTGACCACTAAAATGTTTCCCCTTCAAAGAATTCTGAAATGCAGAATTCAGACGGCATAAAAATCACATTTCATCCAATTCCATTAAAGGTAATTTCAATTACATACTTCATGTTGCCTGGTGTTTTAAAAGTGGTGTTAGGTTGTGCTGGTGTCAGAAGAGGGTTTAACACAGAAAAAGCAAAAAAACACTTATTTTATTCCTGGGGACTACAGTGGAAGTTTGATCCATCTTCAGCACTCCTTTATGTCTAACAATCTGGTTAGTTCTGCGTTTGCCGCCATGACTTTTAAAGTTGATGGTTTCAAATAGTTACTGTATCTGATCAGGTACATATTGAAAGAGTCTGGGATGTGGCAAATGTTATGACAATGAAATAATTAGATTGAATAACCAATTTTGGGTAAAACAGCCAGTGTGGTCAGTAAATAATTTCAGCACTGTGATTTGGTTTTAATGTTGTGGAATGTTAAATACATAGCACACAGATTATTATGGGAGCCCTTCATAACATTTTAATTTCCTGTTACTTAACCCCCAGTCTGTGTGACCTGAGCAATTATTTCTCCTGTCACTGAGGTTTTTCCTGTATATAACAAAAAAAACCTTCAAAACTTATAACAGATACCTTCTGGATTCACTCAAACTCCACTAAGTGTCCATAAGTGTTGAAGTGGATTAAACCTCCATTTACCCCACTAAAAGGACTATCAACAGATTTCCCATTACAGATAGTATTACAAAAGCTGCTGTAATAATATGCGTCTCTGTCCAATTTGACACCTACAGGGGACCTTAAAAAATAAGCACTGAAGGAGAAAAGACATGGTTTCTCCAGTTTGAAACTATACTGTTTTTTTCAGAGAAGTGTTCACTGTTTCTGAGGTATGAGTTTGGCAACCTTTGTTTTTCTGCAGACAATTACTTCAGCTGAAGTAATTAAGAATGTCATGACCTTCAGCTTTCCAGAATTGTATCAATACACTGCACTGCACCTTGTAATTACTAGAAAATAAATGGGGATAAACACTTTAAAAAAAAGCCATCTGTAATGAAGTCAAAAATCAATACATAAAGGACAGAAGATTTCAATAATTCATTGTACATTTTTAATTAAGTCACTATTGTAGACAACTCATTTAGAAGCATAAATTACATCTGATTAAAAACCTGCAGTCTCCTTAAAAGAAGTGTTGTTAGAAGTTTTGGCTTCTATAGTAGTAAAACAATGCACAGCTTCTAAATTTCCTGTTTTCCTATTAAAGTGAATATGATGTGATATTAGGAGACCTACCTTATCTTATTACAATGTAAAAACCTTACATCTCGAAACATTAGTAATGTACAACTATGTACTGTACCTACATGGGAACACCCCTAGCAATAAAGGTGCCAAACTCTTTGCGCGTTTGTCATGCTTTCAGTGCTGAACAGTCTCAGGACACTGTGGTAAAGCAGAATTTTCACAGCAGCATTGCAGGGCAGGTGAAACAGGCCAGACCCAGAAGTGTCCACCTACCTTCCAGCTGAAGAGCCATTTAGGGAGTTCTGAGAGGCCTGACCAGCAGACCCCGCTGCCGAATTCAAGATGCCCTGCTGATTAGAAGACCCGTTCACTGGACTGCCGTCCCCCTTCAGAATTCCTGTGCACTTCCAATTATCCATGTAATTAGCTGGAAGAGAATGATCCACAGATATTTAGATGATCTATAGATAAAAGCTGGAGAAAAAAAATCCAAAACACTGCATCACAAACAACAAATCCCGGCTCTTTCCTGCCCAAGATGCTTCTGATGTTTTTGACCTGGACAGTGGATTAAGACCCTCCAGACAAATGTGTAAAAGATAGTCCTGTTGCCAGCAGGACACCTGAATCTCTTGTAGGATGGAGCTCGTTTTGCCCTCTGCTGAGTATGCAAGCCGCACTCTTGCCTCTTCCAATTTAACTTGGAAGAAGCAGCTGGATAAAACAGGCCATTCCCAGAAGTACACCTTCACAGATTACCTCTGGATTGAAGTGGCAGTATGAATTAAACATTCATGTTTCCATTTTTTGTCCACTGCCTCTACAAGAAAGTGCTTTCAGGAAGTGCGCAAGGCACTTCTTTACTCAAAGGGTGGCGGGAGTGTGGAACAAGGCCCCCAGCCATGTGGTTGAAGTCAATACCCCTGGCTTCTTTCATGAAACAGCTTGATGAGATCCTCAGAGACAATTAGCTTTTAACTTCTAACTGTTCAGGCATTCAATTTAAGCATGTTCACAAACTGGTAAGAGATTCAGGAATTGGATGGAATAATTCCAATTGTTACAGTTGTGAACATCCACTGGTACTACTGTTTTGCCACAGCGTTGTCGTCGGGTACAATCTCGGCAGCAGGAGCAAACAAACTCACCTTTCCATAGCCGCACACAGCCATCGTCCCCAGAAGAGGCCAGGAGGGTGCTGGTTATGTTCCAGCTTACTCGCCACACCTGGGAGTTGTGGTTCTCAAACTGGGCCACAATCTGCACTTCAAACTTCGTTGGGCCCGTCGAAGAGCTGGTTTCTCGTCTATCCGGCAAAGCACATAAACAATTGTTAAACTGGTTCTTCATTGAATCTGTAACAGCCCGTGCCGAGATATTATATGTATGAAAAGGTCCTAAAAATTACCAACTGAGACCAAGAATAAATTGCACCACCTGTACCTTGTGAAAAAATACACTGCCTCTGACATCCCGAATTGCTAGATATTAAAAAAACAGTGCTCCTATAATAAGATTACTTTTATTCCCGCCGTAAAAAATAAAATACTTTAAGAGCTAATGCAGACAAATCTATGAGACATGCTAAAAATTCCTCAGCTCACTGTTGAGAGTTCCTCTTTTTCTGACATTCTCCTCCCCATTCAGACGTTTTCCACTGTTAACTAGTTTTTTCCAATCATATTATATTTATCAGACAATACGATAAGTCTCAGAGTTGTTTTAATAAACGGTGCGAGATGCACCGTGGATTAAGACTGAACACTCAAAGCAAATCTGCAGTCCACTCACCGAAGAGGTATTAACTTGAAGATGCGGACGTCTTTGGTTGCTACCGCCAGCACGTGGAATGACCTCCCCAGGTTTGGAGCAAATGCAATGTCGTGAACTGGCTCTGTGACTGTCATCAGTGTCTCTGCCTTTGCATACTTCCTGTAGAGGTATCCAGAGCAAGCATATTGTCAACTGAAGCCTACAGATACTACCCTTCCTGAAACAAAATCTGGGACAGTAAACACTCCAGCCCAGATCATACCCATCTGAGAAAACACTAACAACTGCGCAGTGGGCTAGTATCTCATCAAAACTGGCCCAGTCCTTCCTCGGTATAAAGTTGGCGTCACAGGAGTTGGCCGGAATGTCAGGAATGTTTTGTTCAAGACATTCAGGGCCTCCCAAGAGGCTTCATCAGTCAGAGCTCTTGCCTGATCGCTGCTCGAGCCAAGACGCGTGGAATAATAACGACCACAGACTGCAACAGTTGATCGACAAAGTATCTAACAAACCCACTGGAAATGACCTACCCAGACAAGCCTGGGTCAAGCTGAGCCGAGTAAGAACTGGACATGGCCGTTTCCGGGCCACCCTACACAAGTGGGGGCTCACTGATGACCCGATTTGTGAATGCGGCGATGGCAAGGAGCAGACGGCCGACCACATCCTATACTCCTGCCCTCGCTTCAGGTGCCCCGGCAACTTCACCGATTTGTATGATGCCAGCCGCGACTGGCTGAGGCACCTGACTGCGACAATATAACTATGTAACTTTTGCATGTTAAGCTCATATGAATAATAATAATGCTCGAGCCCCACGATCACGGGTCTGAGCCCGGGTCATGTCACTAGCTGACACTGACCAGGGGTCCCCAAGTGGTGCCACACACTTTACTGAACACCACGGAGGGCAGGGTGGGATTAGCTAGGATCAATAGGCATAGAGTGCCATCGTTGAGGGTCACGCCTCTCCTCCGGTCCGCACCGAATGTGTTGCCCATGTGATGTCTTAAAATCCAGATGGCTTGAACATCTGCGGGCCAGTCCAAGACGTGAAAAACAATCGAGCTATTCCAAATTAGGGGTCGTTTAACAATACTAAGTGATGACGTATTTGAAAACGGGGAAAAAAGGCTTCTAGAAAATAACCTAGTTACATGCATATTAATTTCTACAAATGCAGATACATTGAGACAAAAGTACTGGATCTCCAACCATGAAGTAAATAGCCTCAAGCAAGGTGTACACCAACCTCGTGTTTTCATTGTACTCGTATATCTGGACTTTGCCTCCATAGGCAACGTTGCTGTCGTCACTTCCCACTGCAATCATGGGAGAATGTGCCCGGGAGCTAGAAAATGAAGCAGCAGCAGTGGGTTAATTAGGAGGGGTTGCAGTGTTTGTCATCGCTGCCTTATTAATCATTTGGCTTAATATGGATCAATGAAGGGCAGCTCAGCTCATCCCCGACAGATCCTTGACAACCATGCAGGACTATCACTATCATACTTTTCAGAATAAAACTGGGAAAAAAAACATTTAATTCAGTAACCGTAACTACCTTCAGGTAATTAGTATATAGGTTTTCTTTTTATTTGTGGTTTATGAAGTCAATTCAAAATTCACTCACTGGAATCATAAAAATAAAATGCTGTTACCATACAATTTTAATTAGGAGTGCTTCACAATCAACTTGAAGCACTGTATGATAATGTATGATACACAACAGACACAAAAAGCATGGGGAAAAACAACATACAATTGACTTTGGTTAAACCACATTCAATCAAATGAAATTGGAAACCATTAAACTTAACAGAGGATGGGAGCAATGTACTGATGAAGTGTACCTTAAAAGTGCCACAAATTCCGTACATACTCATGCCTAGTTCCTAAGATGATAGGTGTTGGGTGTTACCATGGTCTAATCTTGATTAAATAAAGATATGTGTAAATATTTAGCATCAAATAGTCAGAGCAAGGTTCTCAAATGAGCAATGCCATGCAAGTGGAATAAAAATACACTTGTGACAACCCTTGTGATGTTTTCAGCAAACATGCAGTTCACATGAATAAATAGGGCCAAAGGTGACACCACGGTGTTTAAATAACATCACCATCAACAACAACACTGACGTCACCAACTTTACGAAGCCAGCTTTGCCTATAAGCAGAACTTCTCTCCTGTCACAGTTCAGTTTAAGAAAATCCTGTGGAACACACTAATTGTGGAACAAAGAATCAAAAGAGCCAAAAATTACAAATTGGCTCCGGATAGCCAATTATGAGTCACGTGCAGCAAGATTGTCACCCTATGTCATGATTGAGTAAGATGCCTGGATTTACAGTCAATTAAACAGATATTATGTCTCTGTCTATATCCCATTTGAAAAGGATCCAAGTGCACATATTGCCCCTACATTAGACGCAAGAATTTGCACTTATTGGATAATGAAAAAGAAAGACAAAATCAGCACAACATTCTTGGTAAAACACAGCTAGTTTGACATGTTAAATCTGTGAGCATCACAGCTCAATGTTTTGTATAAACGGTACCTTTAAGGATGCCTTTTACCTTGTGAAACTATGGACAGGTAACAGGCAATACCCCTTAAGCACAGTGTGGGTGCAAGACAGGCTGGAATTAAAAGCAATGATGAACTTTGGCTGATGCTTTTATCCAATATACATTTGTACCCATTTACACAGCTGGGTGTTCTCCTGGAGCTGTTTTGGGTGAAGCTCCTTGTTCAAGGATACAACTGCATCGTCGCACTTGGGATAGGAAACCCAACGACCTTCCAGCTACAAGTCCAGCGCTACAAGCTGAAAGCTCGATGCACCAAAGAAGAAACCAGCACCTGGAGGGGTTCCAGGAAATGCAGCTGCAGCTGAGCTTGCAGGAGATCTCGTGCTGCAGCGACCACTGGCTGAGGTTCATCACATCAGGGGCCTCATAGATCCGCACAACCCCGTCAGCCGAACACGTGGTCAGCATCAGGCCCATGTGCTTTGGAGCGAACTTAACATCAGTTACAGACGTCCTGCTGTCAACAAGCGTGGTTCTCTTAATCTGGGGGAAAAACACAGAACGTCAGGGAATCCGTTTCCCCATTTTATTTATAATAATTAATAATTGCTTACGCTGGACACACCACTCAAAGTGCTTTACAGGTAATGGGGACTCCCCTCCACCACCACAAGTGTAGAGCATCCACCTGGATGATAGTGCACCAGAATGCTCCCCACACATCAGCTATTAGTGGGGAGGAGAACAGAGTGATGAAGCCAGTTCAGAGATGGGGATTATTAGGAGGCCATGACTGGTAAGGGCCAATGGGAAATTTGGCCAGGACGCCAAGGTAACATTAACTCTTTTCGAGGAATGCCCTGGGATTTTTAATGGCCACAGAGAGTCAGGACCTCGGTTTTACGTTTCATCTGAAGGACGTCGCCTTTTTTACAGTATAGTGTCCCTGTCACTACACTGGGGCATTAGGACCCACACAGACTGCAGGGTGAGCGCCCCCTGCTGGCCCCACTAACACCTCTTCCAGCAGCAACCTTAGCATTTCCCAGGAGGTCTCCCATCCAGGTACTGACCAGGCTCACACCTGCTGAGCTTCAGTGGGCTGCCAGCTGTGAGCTGCAGCGCGATATGGCTGCTGGGTGATTTGAAGCTGATTCTCTTTCAAACAGCACCTCCCAAGTTCAGCCCAGACACCAACTCACTAAAATACGCTCCAAGCGTCTTTCCCAGTACAGGGTGTCCAGCAGTTCTATACAAAAAAATTCATGAACCTCAGCAAGATGTGATCCACAGCCCCGGATCTGTGTGGGTTCTTATCCCCCAGTATAGTGAATGGGACAGTATACTGTAAAAAAGGCATCGTCCTTTAGCTGAGACAAAAATCCCAAGGTCCTGACTCTCCGTGGTTATT